GTTAGTGATGATAATGGTATAGGGGCTGCTGGGAAGCGTGCCAAAAGTGCGTTGGTCAAACAGGATGCATTGTGGAGTAGAAATGGGGGATGATTCTGGAGTTACAGTTACAGATGCACACCAGAATGACCACAGATCGGGATGATGGGTCCAGTTCGTCGAGTGTTATTTGGACGCCTACACAACGTTGGGCAGTTGGCTTTGGACCTAGTTTTCCCGAGAACGCAAGAGAAGGAGAGTGCGAGACAAAAACTCATCATAAATCACATGACATCGGGTATTTGCACCTGGAACCGTTTTGTGGGCGACCCACACAGCACACAGGGCAGGTCAGAGTTCATCTGGCAGTTCGACTAAATTACTCAACAGTCGCTGCTGGCCACGCTGCTGTTCTTTGATTTGCTCGCTTTTCCTGCACGCTTCAACTCCACAATACGGTTTTGTTTCGCGCTGAATGAAACAATTTCGAAAAATTGTAAATAGTCTTGATGACTTTATTTAATTTTTATTGCATTCAGCAATGCCGTTCCCAGAGCCCTTTGTTCGTTTTCGAGTATTGTCCGGTTGCAATGGTTAAACAAAATCTTTTGATTTTGGAAGCTGCTCGAACGCCTGCAATTTTAAAGGGCCTGGAAGAGATGGGGAAGACAGTGTATAGACCCCATCTGATGGTTCCATTGTGGTGCTGACGGTGATTTTAACGGCGGTTAACTGCAAGAGAACACTCATTTTCAAAGGGCATTGGAAGATGATCTTAGTAAAATTGTCCAAATAGAATCGAAGTAAAAGGATACGCTGTAAGTATAGTATACCAGAAGCAGGAAATTAATATCCCCACTCAGTGTTTACTTCCTCAGTTATCCAAGTAAGATTTACATTTATGTCCAACCGGCTCAACTGCACTTGACAATTAAAAACGCAAATTTTGCCATTGTCTTAATTTAAATAAATTAAATTTTATGACACTTGCAGTGGCAAGTGCATTTTTTTCTTGACTTAATTGGCTTTATGTCGGCCGACACACGAGACGCGAACGATCGGGGCGATTCTGCTAAAAATTTGAGTGAACCAAGGGGGGGCTTCTGTGGGAGAATACCCAGATCGTTTTAAGTTGACAGGCAAAATACCCACAAAAGGCTATTTGCATGGGCCTGGCTTGCGGTACAGGAAAGTAAAATTACCATCGGGCTTAATGTGAAATTAATGAGGAATTAAAATTCTGTCCGTCTGGCTTGCGTGCATTGCTAGATTGTAGATTGCAGATTGGAGGTGGATTTTTATGTCTCTGCATGGCATGTCTCTCTATATCTAATGCACTCCATTCTGGGGCAATGATATTTTACTAATTAGTTATATGTATTATAATTTTTCATCTAAACCACTGGCCATGTCTCTGTTGATTATCGCAATCATAAAATGTATATTTGTTCGCTTTGATGATGTTTTCTATTAACGCGGTATACGATCCGCAGTCCTCAGGGCCCAAGAGATTGCATTTTACATTGTTATTTAATAAGATTTTGATAGATCTTGGCATAATGCACCGCCCCGATTTGTAGCTGGACTGTGGGCAGAAAATAGTAGAAGAAATGTATTATTGAAATATTTTTTGCAAATATTAAATTATCTCACCATTGATCAAATAATAAAAAATATATGTAAAGAGAAGACCCGATCTTTGTAAAATTGTTGGTCTATAAAATATTGTCAGCCCACTGTAGGTTAATGAAGAATGATTCAAAGAGGCATGAAATCATACTGCATTGTATTGTTGCAACCTGTAATGAAGAAAGTGTTGTTGCTACATGAAGCTCATATTTTTTCCTGGACGGACATTAACATACCCAGTCAAGAGAGTCGAATGCCTCCGCTCTCCGTCCGAACCTACAATTTCAACTACCACCAGACCATTCGGTTCCCGGTTCCCTTGGCAATCACATGCTGGCCATCAGAGACATTCTATGGCCACTGGGCTTAATGAGGTTCGAGCCGTAAATTAAATTCAGAAATTATATTACTCGGGCTGGTTTGTTGCCAATCCCAGCCCTCTCCCGCCCACTCGATCCTCCCACTCCGGGCAGTAGAATTGCATGATCGCATGCAAAGTGCCGGGAAGTTAACCATTTGCCCCCAAATGAAATTGTAGGGGCGGGAGGAGTGGCGAATACCAAGGCGCCACTTTTGCGCTTCGCAACCCACAGACACTTCGTTATAAAACAATTTAATTTTCAAAGGAATTAGTGGCAAGAAGTATACGACTCGACCTGGAACCGAATCGCGCAAAAAGGCGAGCAAAATATTTACAAAACTAATTTTTAATTAATGACCAAGGCAATGGGGGAAGAGGTCCGGGAAGTGGTTACTTGCATGCTCGACCTTTTCCATATTATTTACAAATTGGCTCTGGGCTGCATTTCCTTCCCCTGCATGGCCAGAATGCTAATTCTGTTTCTTTGTTATGAAATATATTTTTCTGTTTTTTCGAAGGTAAATTAAAGTTGCATAATTGGATAGGAGAACACCTGCGCTCGTGGCTATCAAACTATGGGTTTTAGCATTCGATTGCCTTTTGTGGTCTGCACTTGCATTCATTATATACACGCAAGTGCAATAATTTGAAGTACCTTTTACTGTTTTAAGGTCATGTTTGGTAGTTCCAAATAAGCTCTGTCAATAGCTTATTGAATTTTGTACTAACTTTCCGATTCTTTATCATGGTATTCATCTTTAAAATAATCCTAATAAACTTTATAGTTTAGGGTAATTTTTTTTTTTTATTCGTATCTTTCTTTATCTTTATTTGGGATAAATGCATGCAGGTAAATCAAATTCTCAAATTTGAGTACAAATTATAAAAACCATGGAATTATGTATACTTGGGTACTGAATGAACTACTTCTTATCCCAATAATGTTAAAACATTTATGGGACCTTCTTTGGAACTTACAATATATTTTAATTAATATCAATAAATAGAGAATTCAAGTAAGTACATAAATTGCATGCACTATTGCTGGGGCCTCTTTTTTCTGGAATCGAATTCAAAGTAAATAATATTAATATTTAATTGCCAACTCGTTTAGAGGCGTTTCCCCATGTACTTCATGAAAAAATACTTGTATTGGAAGGCCTTAAAAAACGGGGTAAATCTATAAATGCAGCAATGAGCAATGAAATAAAATGTCTAACTAAAGTATGTGGCAGAGGCAAGCTCCTCCATGCATATTCATGGACTCCGTGCCTCGCCGGCCTCCTCCTGGTCCGTTCCCCAGCTACGTTTTCCGGACTGGAAATGCCAACTGTGTGCTGAACTGATAAATTAAGCAATTCCAACTAAAATGCAATGCATTGCAAATTTCTTTCCTACATCTCTCGGCTAGAAAGTTGGGGAGCAAATAAACCAAGAGGCAGGTGAAATTATGCCTCATTCAGGTTAGTTTTGATGTCTTTGATGCCACTGCATGACAAGCAGACAGCCAGTCCTACTCCGGCAAGAGGTGTTAGGTGTTGGAACCTCCATATCGGGGATTTAAATGGAATTAAAACGGGCAACGGGAAGTGCAATGGCTCTCCGACGACCCATCACCTCAAAACTATAATTCCGCACCTCCTTGGTCGGACGGGTAATTAAATGTGCTTTAATTCGTATAATTCAGTTGATTTAAGCGTGTAGAACTTTCGGGCCGTAGAACCCGAATGAATATTCACAATTTTGCGGAGCTTAGAAAGTTAGCCTGGGAAATGCCAATTGGGGGTCTCGATCTCAGACCCTGTTCCAGCCCGGAGACCAACTCTCCCTCGAGGGGCCAAAAAGATTTATCGCAATCCATCTACAATGTACCAGCAGTACGCGTTAATGGAGTTTACGAGCTCCAATTTTCTTATATGCAAATTTCCCCACCGTGCATCGGCTTTATAACTTTCGAGAGGAAGAATTGCGGGAGGAGCACTGGGATGGAATAGAATTCCTGTGAAATCGTCGTCGCTTGTCTCGTAATTACTGGCAATTTTCCGTGAATTTATTAAAATTAAAGGCGCACTGAAGACAAAAGCTCGGCTTAAGTGCCCGGAGGGCCAACATCCACCCCATTCCACGCCCAACACCACAGCCGAACGCAACCCATTCCATTTGATTCCATATGACTACAAACAAACAGACCATAAATAGTATAAATTTCCACATGACACGCGATGATTATGCGCTTTCCATGCAAACAAGTGTCTGACAAGGGGGGCGCACTGTGGCTCGGAGGTCGCTGGGAGGGCATCTGCATCTGCTGCCAACATCATTTGCGTACGGGTCGAGCCAGTACGTTGCTGGATAAGTACAGTGAGCACTGCCATCAACTACTACTAGTGAAATGTATCTTGTACTTATCTTTGTACTTATCTCAAGTTATCTCAAGATGTCTATACAAATCCAACCTCTTTCCGTCGTAGCCAATTTCTCCTGTGCCTTTCACTTGCCAACTCACACGTCTAGCACACAATTTTTAATTGCTCAAAGCCCGAGCGACAATGACAGCCCAAGTCGAGGCTGCCCTCCTCCCCAAAATCCCAGTGAATTCATTTTGTTTTGTCGGCTTCCCATTGATAGTGCGAATACCCCGTATCTGGCGGGCTGGAGTGACCCAGGCTCGCCCCCGAGAACCTCCCGGGCCGGACCCTCGGTGAAGCTTCATGCCAGTTGGCTCATCTGCATGCGGATATCTGGTCATGGGATCGAATCGGTCCAGTTGTCGTACTGCGGGTGTCTGGTTCTTATTAGCTTTGCACGCGCTTCCCTCGCAGCTGAATTCCGTGAATTAATTTCAGTTTTGCATGTTGTTATTTATTAAAATTTCAGTTGCCTCTACTTGCGATCCTCTGTGAGTGCCCTTTCATATGCGCCGCTGAGCTAATTTCACAAGCGAAGGCAGAGCCCCACTGATTAATATCTTCGAGATACTGTTGCGACTAAGATATACTTTTGCATATCATCCCCAATTGAAAGACATATATTCATTTTATTTTATATTTATTTTTTTCTTCGTTTTATTGTTTTTTCTGTTATCTTTTCAAAGTTATACATTTAAAAGTTTCATTTGCCACACGATACATTATTTGTTTATAAATTCAATTGATTTTTACACATAAATAAGATAGTTTTAAATTTATAATTATTTTTCTTGTTTTGTGTTAGTTAACTTAGCAATTAGTTACTTTTATACGCTTCTTGTTTTTATTAAAAATAAAATCATTCAAATTGATTATCACAGTATTCATGCGAAATAAATATACTTAGGAGTAGACTGCTTGATGGTTTTTCTTTCATTGTGTAAAGTTTAAAACAATTATACGTTTATTTCTATATTAGGATTTGCTAGGAATTCAATCTGTTGACTTTGAAACTGTGCAAAGACACCTTAGAACTAACACTGCGCCATACACCCACAGGGAAATGGAATTGGTTGGAAAGTTATTATTGGCAAGCCATTCCACTTCCCTGTGACCTCAAAAATGTTGGTTATCAAGTAAAACTATTAACTCTACTTGATAAGCTACCTTTTTGGCGTTTACTTTATTTAAAAATACCATACAATAAATACGATAGTAGCCATAAGCAAACTCCATTTACAAACGTCTGCCACTTTCAGAATTGTATGCCTTGGTTTTGAATTATTCTAGTATTTGATGTGTTTGCGACTTTGAACCTAAAAGGACACAAGCAAAAAAAAAGATTTGGGTTAAAAAAAATGAATAAAAAATCACTAACATGGTTAGCCATTTATTAAGATATTTACTACAAACATATTACGCTTTAAAAAATAAACTTGTACACACCTGCTCATAGTGTTGCTAAGCTTCCTTTGATTTGTAACCACTGCCTGCACCTCGCACATTGCACCGTGTTTGTCCCTAAAGTGAGAGCACCCTCAAACTCCCACAACCACTTAGTGCATCATGTAGGGCGACTCATCCTCATCGGCGCCCGTCGGGCTGTCCAGGGAGGGGTTGATGCGCTTCTCCTTCTGCCGGCGGTTGCAGAACCAGACGCGGACCACCTCCTTCTCCATGCCGAGGCGATCGGCCAGCTGGCTGATCTCCTCCGAGGTGGGTTTCTGGTTGGCCATGAACGCCTTCTCGAGGGCTCCCCGGATGGTGGTCTCGATAGAGGTGCGCTTCTTGCGCCGACGGCCAATGATCTCCGGAGTGCTGACCGTCGCCTGCAGAGCAGCAGGGTCGAAGACTCCCCCGGTGGCCTGAATCGTGCGGTCGGCGTCGTCCAGCCACTTCTGCAGCAAAGGCTTCAGCTTGCACATGTTCTTGAAGCTCAGATTCAAAGCTTCGAACCGCGAGATGGTGGTCTGGGAGAAGTCGTTCCCGTACAGCTTTCCCATGGCCAGGCCCACGTCGCCCTGGGTGAAGCCCAGCTTGATGCGGCGCTGCTTGAAGGTCTTGGCGAACTGCTCCAGCTCCTCCAAGTCGGTGGTCTCTTCGGGGGAGGGTTCTCCCGCCGCCCGGGCAGCCGCTGCACTGGCCACCGTCTTGGGCTGGGGGGTGGTGGTGCCGCCACAGCCGCCCTGCATCTGGGTGCCGCTGGTGGGGGTGCTGGGCGTGAGCATTCCGCTCAGCTTCAAGCTGGCTGCCGAGTTCGGGGGTGTGATCTGCAGCGGTAGGTGGTGGTGGTGCGAGTGGTGCGCGTGGTGCAACTGCTGGGGCGAGCTCGCAGGGCTGCGCACCGGGATGGGACTACGCACTGCCGAGTGCGGCGTAGAGCTTCGCGGCTGCTGCAGAGGAGTTACTTTAGAATGGTTCAATGGCAGTGGCTCCAGTTGCTCAAGCTCCTGCTGGCGCTGCTGCTGCTTCTGCAGGGCTTGCAACTGCTGGGTGGCCTGGCTTAGTGCCTGGATCTGGCTCTGCATTAGGAACTGTGCGGCCGCCACCTGGGTGGTCAGGGCCGGGTCATCCGGCGACAAGCCCAGGGAGCCGTTCCTGAGCAGCTCCATGTAGCTGTTGAACTGCTGCTGCAAGGCTACTTGCCTCTGCTGCAGAAGCTGCTGGAACTGGGCAAAGTCCTGGGGGGACAGGGATCCAGCCAGTAGGGGATTGTTCAGACCAAGGCCTGCAGCCGCCAGCTGAGCCTGTGGCGAGGACATGCCGGGAATGGCCAGCAGCGGAGATATACCACTAGCCACCGTGGTGGCCACTGCCGCAGCTGCTGCAGCCGCTGCTGCCATGGAAGTTGGCGTAGTGGCTCCACCCACGGCACTACCACCTGATGGGGGCAGCACTGGTGAGATCATAGACGCCACTGGCGAGGGAAGAGCCACCGGTACCGGGGAGGCAATTGCCGACTTCACGGAGTTCGCAGGGCTTTGAGTGCTGTGGCGGCTGTTGTCGCTCGTGAGGTTCAAGGCTCCCCCATTGGCATCCTCGTAGTCGTCCTGCTCCTGCTTGTACTGGCTAAGGTGGTTCAGGTGGTGCGGGTTGTGGTGGTGGTGGGCCGGGTGGGGCTGCATGGCCAGCAGCTGCCGCTTGGCCTGTTGGTGGGTCAGGGACAGAGCAGGACTCAGGGGAGATCGGCAGCGGTCGCTGGAGGTGCCCACACTCGAATTGTTGTCATCGCAGTCGGACGCTGAAATTGAAAAAAAAAAAAATATTTTTGGGTTAGGAAACAAAGCAAGTCAAGTATATGCTTTATAATGGTTAAATTACATTGCTTTTATTAAAGTAGTTTATGATTTCAAGACTCAAACTCAATAATCAATAGTCCCACAAAAATATTTATATTTTCCCCTCGGAACCCCCTCCGAACTATGCAAAAATGAGTTACCCTTTCCGAGGACTTCAATTTGAACATCCCACTCCACACAGTCCCAGCCTCACGACGACGTTTTTGTATAATTTTCCTTCAATTTCATAGTCCGTTGGGTTTCGGGTTTCGAGTGAAAGCCTTTCACGTGACCACCCAGAGTACAGGGGGCTGATTATGCGAAAATGTCTGCAGCCTCCCCGCCACTCCCACCCCTCGCCAGACCCCTTTGAGGCTAGGCCATAGTTTACATAGTTCCACCTTGACATCAAATGGAATTCTCATGTTTTCTTTTCATTTTGGCTGACGCTTTTAGCCGCTTTTAAGTGGCATTTTAGCATTTCAAATCATTTGGCCAGCCGATTTGTATAAATTTTCTATTTGTATGCATTTTATTTACACAACAGAGCTCTTCCAGGGGGTGAGGGTCTCTTTGGGCCGGGCCCAATTGATTTGCAATAATATTTAAATACAAGAGAGTTCATTTTCGAGCTAGAAACTCGAATATCCTCCCTCAACCGGGTCCTGGCTAAATGGCAATCAGAGAGGCCTGAACCCTTTGAAGTGGCCTCTGGTCCGGGGGTTCACTCAGTCCTTAGCCCCAGTCCATTCCCAGGCTCGTCCCAACCAATTTCCACATCCTGTCCACTGCAGCCAGTTTTTGCATATGTCTGTTCTGGCTACTTTATGACTTGTGCTCCTCGCCTCCTGATGCCGATACGCCTGGTGGTTGGATGCTACGTGAATTTGATGACTTATTCGCCCAAGTGGGCGACCGACCAACCATCCATCCACCATCGACCATCTCCAGGCTAACCGACCGACCGACCACATGGTCATCCTTTTTACATATGCGACCGGGCCGGGCCAGGAATGATTTCTCCCTCCTTCCCCCATGGACGGGCTACGTGCGTCCATTTGGTATTCAGATGATGTGCAAATTCGATTTGTATGTGTTGTGTGAATGGCTTTCGCCAGAGGTGGGGTCCAGAGCTATAGAGGGGGGTTCGCCCAACAAGACACCTGAGATAGAGTTGTGGTTCTAATGTGGGATACCTTGACGGGGGATACCTTGATGAAGCCACAATCTTGATGCATGAAAATCCCTTTAGATACCTCCTTTTTCTACGCCACTGGCCCATTTGGCAAAACCAATAAAAAAAAGGCCAAATGGTCAGTTTGACTGCACATCCAGCTACCCCAAAGCGCTCCCACATACGGCCAGCATAACGGAATAATTTTTGCATAAAATATATGTAAATATATATGTTCATGTTCGTGAAAGAAATCACAGCAACTGTGTCCAGTCCCACACAGGCACACACAGGATGCCTCCCTCACACATATTTGAATTCAAATCAAGCGAAATGCTGTCAATAATGTGCCACAAAAAATACTCGGCAAGGGAGTAGGAAAAGGTTGAGGCCGCTTTTTGTTCGGACCGAGACTAACGAAGTCCATGAAATTTGAAAAGTGTGAATTGCAAATTTAACGCAGCCTCCCATCGAAACGGGTTATGAATAATAATCGAAGGTTTACGAATCTATCAAAAATTTATAATGCACCCGAAAACTACCAACCACTCTCGGCCAACAAAGTGAACCAAGGGGGAATGACTGGAGTGAGTTGACATGCCCAATTGTCACCTCAGAAACTACTTAAGAAGCTGTTAAGTCGCAACACCCATTTAATAAGACATCAAATTCAACTTAAGAACCTCCTCCCTTTCGCTTAAATCACTGCCGAGCCGACAACAGTTTTGACAGGCCATTGTGCGAGGGCAACCCTCCTGGAACCTAAAAAAACTGAAAACACCAACCCCAACCCAGATACAGTCCCCTATCTTTATCCTAGCGCGTGACTGTCGCAGGCAAGGGTTGATATTCCATTTGGGTTATTGTCATTCTGCCGAACCGAAAACATGGTAGTGATTTACTGAAACTGAAACCGAAACGCATGCCCCGGCCCCTGCCCCAAGCAGATGTTCCCCCCAGACCCGAAATGAAATTTCAGATACATATACCCATCTATATAGTCCTGAAGTGGACAGATCTCGTAAATCGTTTTCGGACAACAGCTGATGCTTTAAATGAGAGAAGAACAGAGTAACTTACCATTCGATTGCAGTGGCGACGGCGAGCGCGACAGACGGCTGATATCTGGAAAAGGGGAAACAAAATTTTAGACCGGATAATGGAGAGACCACTTAAAGCTAGGACATACTATACAAAGTACACCACGACACACGTCGCGGGCATAAAACGGAGAATTTCAAACGAAAAAGCAAGAACATATTCACCAAGTAGTGAAGCGCTCAAGTTTACGATACATACACCCAAAATCGATACCATCCATATACATTTTAAGCCAAAAACTGACCAAATGGCCAGAGTCCGCCGCAGCGCAGTCCAGACATCGACACCGTTGCCTATAAAAGGATATTTTTATGTCCATCGCCCGGGGACCGAGTGGCGAGTTCAAGGAGCACCTGGTCTGTGTCCGATTTGAATTTTGGAGTTGGGTGGGGAGTGCAGACAGCATTTGGGCTGCCTGCATTTTTATGGCTCCAGAAATTGAATTTTGTTCCTAGCTGGGCTTGGTTTGCGTCTTAACCTGGCTGGCTAATTTACGAGTGAACCGAAGCTTAGGGTTAAGGATGGATTTTGGATTAAGACTCCTTAGTAGGTTCTTCATCCCATTCATCCATTTATTTTGGACGCCTCTACCTAACCGCTAGAGTCTAGACCCTTTGCAAGGACCCTGTTTCCGCATTGTCCCCTTTCCTGCCACAATCTCTTCTCACTTCTGGCACACTTCTGTCGCCCTTTCGAGCCACGCCTATGGGCGCTAATTAAGCAACAACTGCAGCCCGTTCAAGTGGTGTGGCATATGTGCGGATCCTGGATGTGTAGGCCGGGTGGCGTTTCAGTTGGTTTTTAGGTAAATGAAAATTTTACAAAAACCCGGCCGGCGTTAAAATGCCACATAAATTATGTAACGACTCCAGAAAGGAGAGTTTCGGAAAATGCAACACCCTCGCGCGTGGCCAGCACGGGCGAAGTGAGCATTAGAGTCCCAGGGTGGGGGTGGCCGATCGTTTCGGGAATTTTAGAATTTCGGCAGAGGAATTGCAAAAACCACAGGCAAGCACCCCCAAAAGCCGGCAGGGAAATGGAGGAAGTAAAATAAAAATTTAGAGAATCGCGCAGCGGGGGTGTCGGTTTATGATGGCCGATTTTCGCTTGGAAGCGGATTCCGAGCCGGAGTCAGATACATTCGGGTGTGGGGCGCACACAATTAGTCAATGACCTCGCCAGGGCCTGGCTGGGGGTGGCTAATACAAGCACACACACACAGTCCTGAACTACAGTGTGTGTGTAGTTGGCTATCAACGACGGTCATCACGTGCGCAGACTGAGACTGGCTATCGATTGAGTCGTCGATGTCGGCGGCGGCGGCGGCTGCGGCGGAAGCTGTATGTCTTGAACTCTTGACCCCCGATTTTGGCATGGGAGCCCCGCTTGGACCTCCGAGGAGTAGCCGAAAAATCCCATAAATAAATAAAATAAAACAAAATGAGGAAAGCTGTGGAGAGCCAAGAGGAGCAAACGCACGAATGGTGTGTGTTTTGGTCTTTGTCTTGTCCTGTACATTCGTAGCAAAACAAAACCAGTAAAACGACAGGGAAAAAGCAGAGAGAGAGCTTAAAGTGCGGCGAAATGAAAGCTTGATTAGTGAGAGTTGCCAAATAATTAGGAAGAGAAGGTCCTTAGGCTCAGCAGACGAGAGAGCAGTACAAAAATGCCCTCAATCATATGAATAACGGGACTATCTGGTTGCAACGGAGGTCGGGCGCCAATTTTTACTATCTTATGCAAACAAAATAAGCCCTTAAGGCGCAATTCGGTATTAATTTCATATGCAACTATCGTTTGCAAACAAAGTAAGGCCCTTGTTGAGCGAATTCTACGTTTCAACCGGTTAGTAAGCCCCCTTAAGACGTCATTACCAAACACCGTTAGCTGCACTTTCTATCAATTTCCGCTTTTGTTGCTTATTGTAAATCCTAATCGATTGCCGAACACTTCCTTTGGATTCCGAGAATTACCCATAAAAGCATTGAGCCAGCGGACACACGCCCTCTTTCTTGATCGGCTTTTATGGCGACGATAGCGGTGATAAGGTGGCAGAATGTTTGAAAAAGGCTGGCATGAGCTCATGGACAATGACTAAAAATAATGTTATTATTCAGGTTGAACATTGTCGTCAATTGGCCGGGCTCTAATCGCCCAAATATATTAATTTAAAACTGATTGGCGAACCAGTTTTTTTTTTCAGTCGCCTCTGAATTATTTATTAAAATCGCCCAAAATGACGAAACTTGTTTATTCTTCGGCGGGACTCGAGAGTTCGCCTTCTTGGAATCATCGGGAATCGTGCAGGTGCGCGAAACGTTACCGCGGCGATAAGCAAGAGTGATAAGCAAATCGCATTGTACAAGCCGAATTCTTATATATCATGAGACATATTTTAGCTATCGCTAGTTTCGGAGATTAGACGAATCACTTGCGTCACGTGATCTCGGAACGAGGTAAGGAAAAGTGCGGTAGCACTAGTAGTAGATATTTCTTCTTCGGAAAAATCCCACTTTTAATCAGACCTCTTCTATCTCATTTTAATTTCCTTATCGCGGGAGTAAGCCCACAAAAATTACTCATTTTCCATTCGTCAGAGTTTTACATAATCAATCATCACGAGCTCTAGTCGAGGGTCCAATTCCACTTTGGGCCACTTCAGCCACCAGGTACCCTATGGCAAGTATGGCTCATCGGAATTACTACGCACATCTCCGTATTCCAATACGACGATTTTTACAATATTTGTCATAGAAATGCGCTTTTTATTGCCCCGTATTTGTTGCGCTTCAAAAACGATAATTGATAAGGCAACAAATTAAAAGTATTGTTTACAATGGCCGAGCGGTTCCACTGAGTGCCCATCGCCACCAGGCCCAGTCCCAGTCCCAGGCCCACTATTTACATGGTCATATTGGTCGGTTGTGCAAGAAATGCGTCTTTAATAAATATTTTTATGGTCCCCCGGCATTGGTAATACAAATTTGTTGGTAGTTTGTAGCTCGTACTTCTCGCCTGGCACCGCCTGGGTCTTGAGACTCGACTTTAAGTGGGTCGCTGGGAGTTAATATTTATGGCAGAGACACCTGTGCCGGGCTATTTTCCAAAGCAGATTGCACTTTTCTTTGTTCTATGTATTGAGTGTTTAGTTTTTTGATTTTGTGTCTACGGAGCACCTGACTTTTAGTCATGGTAATTTCTTGATGGGTTTTCTAACTTGGTAACATGATATTTGAGGAAGGGGTATGATAAAAGTGGAAGCTTTTTCTTTGGGTTTCATTTAATATTTGTCTTCGAAATGGTTTTTAAGATAAGTGAAAATATTTAGGAAATGAAAATATATTAGGATTTTGATTCGAGGGGTATTTAATTTAGAATATAACAGCTTTGAAACCAAATTAAACCGAACAAGATACTTATTTTTCACATCAAAGTAACACTGACTTATAGTGGAAAACACGGATTAACCTTTGGGATATAGCTTTTCTTAAACTCGAACTTACATCGATTCTGCATTATGTGTACGGCTGCCTCTCGGGCGCTGGTCGGTGTGGACTTGAGCAAGTCGCGCTTCAAGGAATTGTTATTATCCTCGGGACTAGCGGTGTGCCAACGTAGCTCCGACATAACCATTTTCACAACTCAGTATTGCAATGTTCGAGGACTGTTTATAATTGCGATATGTGTCCAATGTTCAATGGTGCACTATTCGAAATCACTAGCACTCTGTTCTACTGTTTTTGGTGTTTTTATCTTGGCTGGATGTTCAATAAATATATTTGGTTGGTGTTTAGTGTTTGGTTTTGGGAGGTTTGGTGTGTCGAAGCGCCGCTCGTGTGGACGCGTCCGTGTCTCGTGTGAAACTGACAACAGAGAAGCGTTCGCAGCGGTCAGGACACCTCTCGGTAGCGGACGGTCGTGATATCTTAGGCCTGAATGTTTGGGTTTTCGTTCTGTTTTCTTCTTTGGGCCTTTCTGTTTTCCGTTTTCCGATGATAATGATGGTTCTGATGATGATGGGATGCTTCTTCTCTTTTCCTCTTCTGCCCTGGAGAGCTCTCCTCTACCGTTCTCTCTCGCTCCTGCTCTGCTCTGCGGTGTCTCACTCGGAGACTCTCCCCTTGCCGGTACTCGAGCAGTTTTGAGTTAAAAATGATTGTGTGTACGTTGCACCCCTAAAAAAGCGCTAAGGGTTGATTTTGCCTTTTTTTACAGAACACACACACACTGGCACATAAAAAACCGCCAGGGGAAACGTTGCGTATACGTGATAAAAAACGCGTTACTTTGCGATTGTGCGATGCGCTCCACACGTTTAACTGGTTCCACTTCTGCGCGTCGAGTGGTGCACTTCAGCCAGAATTCGAAGCAGCCGCTCAAGAGAGAGCCCCACAAAGCTTATAGCAGCTCTCGCTCTCTTTCTCCATTGCTTAGCGTTCGGCCGTTTGATATCTCGTTAGAAATGCGTTCCACACACTTATGCAGTCCAATTGGAGTGGAGGGGAGAAGCTGAGCGCTCTCCCACACCCTCTCGGCTGCTCATGCTCACTCGCTCTCTCAATTGAGCGGCAAATTTGCATGAGTGTGAGTGAATTGTAAACTACACACACGTTTTATGCGCTTTAAAATTGTCGACTGAGTGGATGGCGGGGGCCGGCCGTCGGGGGGTGGTTGGGGTTCTCGATTGTGGTTCGCTCGTTTCGTTCGTGGGCTCCATTGTTGCACGTGTGTGTTTGTGTGTGCGAGATGCGTGCGCTTGTTTGGGGTGTGGCTTAAAATTTAAATTTTGCCTCCAAATGGGAATGGTTTTTTTACGGGTGCCACTTTTATGTGCGCCCCATTCGATGTGTGTGTGTATGCATATTATTTTATGATTGGCGAGTCAAAAATGTTCCGGCATGATTGCGAATGGGAGTGTGTGTGAGCTATGTAAAAATATTTTAAAGCTGCGTCGACGTCGACTGAGCAGCACGAAGCTCTCCCTCCCACCCCTCGACCCCCTAAATCCTCGCACTCCCCTCTCGCCTTCGCCCTCCACCCACTCACCATCGTCGCTCTGGCAGCATTGTCGTCTGATTTCGCTCTTTGTTCTGCCCTTGGCTCCCGTTTCCTCTCGACTTTCGCATTTTATTTGCCATTCATGTATGCACACATGTGCGCCCCCTCCCCCCCGTCCTACAGCCACCCACCCGACGCCTCCTCTAAGAGTCTCCTTCTTTAGAACTTGCCACCCACCTTGAGAGTTTCCTTGGTTTTTCCTTCGGTTCTGCTTCTCAAAAATGGACGACTTGAGATGTCATGATTTTTATGATTTGTTTTTAGGATATTGCTTTGTATTTACCAAGAGCATAATGGACATTTATGGCGACAAATATCTCATTAGCGAACTTGGCAAATAAATCTTAGACAAACCTTGAAAACGCTTTTATAATTTACATGTTTTTTAAATAAAAAAAGAACATTGGCAACACCTCACGTGAACGTTTGTGATATAATTCCATCCAAAGAACAACTATCTTCTCTGAATTTTACTTTTTATGAATATAAAAAGGAAAACGTTTTATATTCTCAAGAACTTCAAAGACAAACAAATTATAATGAAAAAGTCAAATTTTGAAGGTGACCAACAAAATCTCTCCCATAAATAAAAAACTAGCCAAACTACCTGGTCAATGCACAATATTTTTTATATGTACATCTCATTGTTATGGAAGAAAATGATAAAAAATTGTTACAAAGTCATAAAAAGTCAAAAATTACAAACAGGTAAGCCGGTGGAAGAAGACGACTCAGGACTGGGTCCTGGCAAGCGTTTAACGCTTCCATCAATGATAGCCACCTAGGGTCCGGTTTAGTTCTGAAGGCATTCCGAAGGATTTCGCGCTCTTTGGCAGCCTCTGTTTTTTACGACGCGCTTCGGTGCTGTAAACTGGCTCGATTTCCACGTAAATCATAAAAAATCATTCGATACGATTTGTATCTCAGGAGGCCGGAGTCAAAGAATCCGTCAGGGATTCGGTTTCTTGCCAGCATCCTGTGAGCCTACATGTTAATTAGTTCATAAGGTATTGGACTGCTGACTACCGGTCATCCGCTCTCACACGTTCGCAAGGAGTTGTTAAAAAGAAACCTCGAATTGGTCAGCCCACAGTACAGGGTATTATTAGGACATTGCGATTTTATGAAAAAATACGAACAGGGAAATTATAAAATATAACATAATATTATTTAATACATATTTACAAAAATCTAGATTAAATCTAGGAAAATAAATATTATAGGTTAGTTCCCACAACAATCTTAATACAGGGTAAACACTATTCGATTCTTTCTATTTTTCTTCGCTGTTGACTTGCTGACCATTTGACTTTTTTATTTACGTGAACTCGAACTTGAGCTACGCGGCCTACTGTGCGTGTCCATAAAAAATATCAAAACTATTTGTCGGCTTGTCCTCTATCGGCCACTTTCTGACGACCTCTCCTACAATTTCGGCCCATACTGCGAGGCGTCCTTGTCGAAAATCGTAAAAGAAAAGTCTTGCCGAGAATTACTTAAGTCAATGTAGGCAAAGATCATAAAAAAGGGCAAAAAGTCTGGAAGAGTTGAGCCTGGCAAACAACATTTTTATTGGGGCAGCCGGAAAATATTAAAAAAAGGAAAGGGCATCTTTTTTAGCCATTTTCGAGGGTACTTGGTAAATTGTTTGAGAAAATAATGAAAAGTGAAATGTCTAATGAAGTCGTAAAATGTTTTGGACCTACAAACATGTTGGCATGTGTGGGCATTCCGGTGAGATCTTTCCTTTTTGGGGTATGTTCTTGTGGGTTTTCTTATTTTTGGTTTTAGTGCATTGATTAATGGCAAAAGGAAACCGAATTTGGGGTAAAAAAAGAAAGTGTTTGCTTGGCCTGGAGATTTTATTAGATTAGTTTTGGGCCAAGAACACATGAATTAGTTATCTTTTACAACGGAAAGTTACAATTTAATTTAAAAAAAAATCATACTTTTTTGTTTATAAAAATCACATTTTTACAGTCATTCTGCGAATTATTTCTCCGTCAAGTCATCCTCCCTTTCAATCCCCTGGTACCCTTTCAGGATTAGGAACTCTCCCTGACAGCACAGCAACGTTAATTAAATTGGTTCCTCATCCTAATCAGCAAATGAAAATCTATGAAAATGCGGAAAAAATTTCGAAAATTTGGCAGAAAAACTTTTGACAGAAAAAACTCAGCAATGGAACCACGGAGGGTAGCTGCTAGAAACAAGGCGGGAGAAAAGCTGTTGCAGCCTGTCTTTGACTTGGAATTACTCGTGATCCTTGGAATCGTTTTTCCTCTATAATTTTTTGTAAAAATCTCCAATGTCAACTTGGATTCTGAGACTGCCTTTGTTTGGAGTAACATGATGAAGCGCCGAATCATCGATTTCAAGGATGACATTCAATGACATTCTTTGATTTTTATTTATGTCCTTACCCAAATTCTCGGGTGGGTTTTTTGGATAAAAAAGAACAGAAATCAATTGCGTTGTCTACCTATGTCGATAAGGAAGTATTCCTTAAAAAATAACACAAAAGAATTCGGGAAGAAAACACACACAAAAATAGGAAAAAATTCATGCTACGGTACTTTGCCGGCATTTGACACCCCAAATAAGCCCAAACAGGACACTCAGGTAGGACCGAGTCCTGCGATATGCATATATGCGAAGCGTTACCTACCCCCAACTGCATTTTTTTCCGCTTTTTTATGCAATTTTTAGCATGAAAATGAGGTTTTCTTTCCGTTTGTTTAGGGGTTGTTAGGGAACTTTCTCTGCGATTTAGTTTTCTCGGCTGTTTTATAGCGCGTTTCCTTAATTGCGTTCTTTCTTTTCTTTACCATTTACCTTTTACCTAGATTTTCGATTGCTGTTGGTAACGGTTTTTCATTTTTTTCGCATTTTTTCTCAAAAAACCTCTGTGGAGGTACTCGCTGCCTCTAAATTATTTGCGGTACTCCTTGTACGGAAGTTTCCCACGAGTTTTAAGGTAAAAAATTGAACCTTTTTGCATTTTAAGGACAGTTGCTTGCTTAGGGTAATCGGATGAGCAGGCAAGGAATTAAGGGAAATATTTCTACTTAATAAAATATTATTGATCTTTGAAAGACTTCAGACTTTTTCCTTTAATTTTAAGATATCTTTTCCCCTTTAATTTCCATGGCATCCCATTTTCTCACTCACCACTTGGATCCTGTAATTTCAGGCACTGCTCTAAATCTCTCACATCCTGGCTGGCATTGTTCAAGGGCCCATAGAGAGCCACTTCTGCTCCGGCCAGTCCCAGGTCATCCGGCTCCCCCTCTTGCTCCGCACTTGGCTGCTCGTCCTGCTCCTTTTTCAACTGGAGAGGCGATGAAGCATTGTTGCTGGCAATCTGAGCTCTTCCTTTATCCTCTGGCTCCTCAACATATTCATCACACGATTGCAGCTCCAATTCGAGCGTTAGCTTCTTGTCTGCTATCGCATCGCCCGGTTCCGAGATGTCTGGGGACTGGCAGGGCGAGGGCAGCCGAAAGGATGGACTGGATGAGCCCGATGAGCCAAAGGAGCTGCTGTGATTTGCGCTGACATCGCGCATATTTGTGTCAACAGCAGTCAAAGTTTCATCTTTGTCCTCAGCTGGGCACCTTAAGTTTGCCTCGTTCAAGGCAGCATCTAGGACATCTCGTTGACTTGGCTCGAATTTTAAGTTTTTTACTGAAAGAAATGAGAGGCTGGCTTATTTTTGTGTCATCGATTTAGGGGCTAGAAAGGCAAGCTTAGAAGTTACAGGCTTATGTACTATATTTATATTTAAACTATCACATCGGTTAACCATTCCATCTGATAGACTCCATTTTGTAGGCTTACATATTTAAATCGAAGCCCAAGAACCAATCACAGGGCCAAATCACAATTTGTATCTCCGAAAGGGTTGACTCTGCCATTTACATAAGCCGCTTTTTATGCCACGGAATCTCAGCAACCCTTTTTTATGGCCCGCCGCAACCCCCATCGCCATTTGAATAAGCTTCTCAATCCCGTCCTCGGTGGGCGATAAAAAGGGGTTGATTTACATAAAAAAGCAAGCCAGACCGGCAGGCATTCGAGACTTCATTTTAATATTTCCCCCTAGGGGTTGATGGCCCACTACGCACACTCCCAAAAATATGCTGATAACGTCATATTTTTTGAGCGAGCGGATAATCTGGAGGGGGGACTCTTAAAAAAGCAACCAACCGGGTACATTTCATTGGTTGAAGTGCCTGGACTCGGCATGTGGGCCAAAACAGGGAAACGGAAAATATTTTCATGCCGAGGCGTTGAAATGTCTCCGGGAAACTGATCCTTGAAATAGCGGCAGGATATCGCCATCATGTGTTCATGACCAGGAGCTGTTGTTGGGTTATTTCTGTGCCAAGGAATGCTGCTAAAAAATTAGGCACATGGATGGCTTTCAAGTGCGAAAGTTTCTAAGGGTTCGAGAAAAAAATCAAAGAGGGTAATACCCATTTAAAAGGTTTAAAATATAGAGAATATGTTTCTTATTTAAGTTACCAATCACTAGGCTAATCATGAAAAACTTTAAACAGTATTTCAAGCCAAAAGTATCTCTTTTATCTTTTACCCATAAGGATTTCTTATTGTTTCTTTTCTTAGAAATTCTCTTATTTAGCTGAATATTGCAAGGTATTTAGGATCTGCGATTTATCAGGATTTCAATTTCTCGCTTCGCCAAACAAATCCCAGCCTGTTGCGCAACCAGACTTCTGAAGGAAGACCGCAAAGTGTGGGATAAGGATAGCTGCGTCTGAAACTAAAAACGAATTGCAGGATTCTCCTGCATTGAGAACAATTGATGCTGAAATTATTAGATTTTTTACCGTTTGACAGCGCATTTCAATTGCACAATTACAAGGAAGCTGCCGCACCAAGAAGCGGATCCACCTACAGTCATAAATATGTGTCAGTCGGGGTTTAATTAAGTACAATCAAAGTAGATCCCAGGAACCTGCCCGAATAGATCGATGTTCGTCCATCCATTCCTACACTCTCGGACTTCTCTTTCTCGGCCATGGACCAGGTGTAAGCCGGAATCAAAGGAGGTGTTTCGGGGGTCCAAAAGACACACAGGAGCTGCCGTACCGACACATCGTGGGAACTGCACATTGCGCAAAGGACAATGGATGTCCTGAGCTAACCAAGTGCAATTTGGCTTTGTCCCTTCTAACTGCACTGCACCCGCTGCGGCGCATTCAGCAATAGTGTAACTGTAACACTGGCCAGCTAGAAGAAGAACAGGCCGATCCGAAGGCCTAGAGCCCAAGACAATAGCGAATCTGGAGAATCGGGGTATGATGATCATCGCCAAGCCATTGTGATCACTTGGCTACGCACCAGAAAGAAGCGAAACAAAACGGCACCACAATATAAAAAGTGATTATTGTTGCGACTTTTGCTCTTTTGTGCGAACAACGAGAATTTATTGCTTCTTTTTTTTTTTGGGAACTTTTCGTACTTTTTCTTGCCGATTTCATAGAATGTGAAATGTGACATGTGAAATATTTTTGGAAAATTTAACCATTTACGTATGAATAAATTTTATATTTAAAATGCGTATTTGCGATGAAGGGAGTTGAAAGACTATTATAACCCAATATATATCTAAAAAAAAAAAATATAGCCAAATTTTTAGGAAAATTTTTAGAGGTCTTGAATACAATAAAATTAGAGACTACTAACAAACACAACAAAGACAACTAATATTTAAAAACACCAATCCACTAGAATCCATCTCAAACCCCACATTACCAAACATATTAAAAATACCAAACATATATCATATCATATCAAAATTATATACCTCATTTAAGATAATTCTAATTTAGCCAAAATGTGTGTATAAAATAGCTCATTACCGCTACCTTTTAATTTAAAATTACTTGGTAGCTCTTCATAAATAAATAAATAAATAAAATAAAATTAGGGACTTCTAATGGCTTGTTCTGAAGAACTCAAAAATATGCAATAAAATGTTCTTTTTAAGATTGTGGGGTGGAAGAACAGAGTACCGGGTATCGTATAATCGAAAAACTCAACTATATCCGTTCTTACTTGCTTATGAATGTTTTAGTTGTCAAATGATCTATAATGTTCCATGTTCCATTAAATGTTCATTTTTTCTCGATCCAGCCCAATACATGACTCTGCTTTTTTATTCAAATAACGGTGGGGCTCTTAAAAGTACATGTTTATTTTTATGTAGATATGTACATACATATGTATGCCTATGTATCTCCAGTGGAGATTCTCCACCAGATCCCCCGATATCTCGGCCAGCTAAATGAGCTTTTGGCACGCAACATGGTGATCTCTTTGCATACACTGAGCACAATTAGCGCTTTTAATTTGGCCTGCGTTTGCCGGCAGTGATCCACTCCCCGTCCTGCCAGCTGCAGCCACCCCTCCTCCGCCCAACGGCTTGACGCCCCCGCTTTTGACACGCCTTTCTACACTTCGCTGCTTGTTTGCATAAATTTCGTGCCAGGCACCTGTCCCCGTCTCGCTCGCTCCCTCCTGTCTGACTCCGTCCCTGTGGTACTTTGCATGTGCATCCGCTCGAGACGCCGCCTTTCTTCTTCTTGTGGCAGCCCCCACACCCCCGTTTGGTGTTTTTGCGTTTTGTAATTGCAGGTTTTTGGCCCAAGTGGCGCATTATAAAAGCAAACAGCCAGCGCCGCAAATAAATGCCTTTAAGTTGCGTAAATTCATAGTAAATACATATATTTAGTTTAATTTTTATTTCTATTGCATTTAAATGCGCCAACCGGGCCGCAAATGAAGTGAAAATGGGCTGCCAGCCGGTAATTATAGAGGATATTTTTTTATTCAATTACTGTCTGTTGAAATTATAGTCTCAGGTGTAGTGTATGTAGTTTGCTAAATTATTCATTTTTGATTGATGGATAGGAATAATTGAGAATAATAATAATTTGAAAGTTTTTCTAATTTGAAGAGTTTATAAAAGAGAAAAACTATTTTCCCATATTTTTCGTGTGAAAATGTCCCAAAACTATCGTTTGTTTTTATTTACCTCGAACTTTCTACCCATTCTCACCCTTTCCCCTAAGCCCGCAATAGGTCTCCTTTTTTAATGGCATTTTCTTTACTTTATCCCGAATTTAAAACCCATTCAAGGCTCACAAGAAAACACTCGATTTAATGCAGGCGGCAATAATATCCTTTTGTATTTCCACCCAAAAATACGTTACGAAATTTGGCAAAAATTGGGAATACAAAAAATAATTTCAAGAGGTTAAAATGTCACTTAGGCGCATTTTCTCACCCTAAGATTTTTTTGGGAAATTACTTGCCCAAAACATTTTTGGCAGATTTTTTAGCGAATTCGAGGGCGCAGATTAGAAATTTTTGATGGCAGCTGCTCGCAGCGATTCGCAAAAAGGGGTGGAAACGTGGCGATTGCAAAATGTGGGCATGGCTTGAATAAAAAAATTAAAAAACTATATGTACATGATTTTTCAACCCTATTTTGCATGGAACTTGCGGGTAAAATGAATGATAAGCAAAAACATAGTTTCGATACTCCCGAAGGCCAATAAAAAATGGTCGGGAGGGGGCAGAGGCACACAGGCACACAAAGGCCTATATCAGAGCAGATATCATTGTGATCATCACGCAGTGGGAAGATGAAAAAAAAGATCGAAAGCAGCGCGTGCTGGAAAAAGGATGCGCCTTGGTCCTCGAGAGACCTGGGCCTCAGAGCGTGCTGCGCATGCGCGCCCTGTGCGCTGTTCGTCCTGTTTATCCTGTTGTGTAACCCAATCCCCGAACCTCTGCAAGGGTTTAAAATTGTTTCGAGTGAGTCGCTGATTTCCAAAAACAGAATGTCGCTAAATGTGGCGGAACTTCCAGGGGCAGCTTCCAATGGCCTCGCATTTATCATCATTAAAGGCGGAGCGGCGCGGGCTCCTGGCACACGAATATCCTGCTAGACTACCCTTTCACTTTTGTGCCAAAGGCTTGTGGCCACTGCGGGTCGCAGCTGCTGCTCTCCCTTTATTTGTATAGAAATTAAATTTGACATGCAAACATTGCAAGGATCCCCTTTCTTCTCCAGCGGCTCCTGCGAAAGGATTTCGTTTTCGATTGATTTGAGAGGATTTCAATTCAAATTTTAGCTGTCGCTGACTTCCTTGTAATCCGATACAACGGAGTGAAAGTAATTTGCGACAAATTTTCACGTTTTCCATTTCCATTCGAGTCCCGAAAATATCCACACACAAACACACAAAAGTGAAAGCCATGCAAATGCCAATAACAGATGTTTTTCGTATTTTCAGATGGAAAATTTTCAGCTGAGTGGCAGACTCTGACGAAAATTTGTTGGCTAAAAATGTTAACAAGCAAAATTAATGAGCCCTGAAACATGAACACAACACCAGCCAAGAAAATATAATTCAAGTTTTCCAGCAATTCTGCTTTTTCAGAGCAAAAAGTTATTAATTTAGATTCCCGGCTCAGATATGTGATAAGTGAATAATTATGGGCTTGCTGAGAGGGGGAGGAGCTTGGACAGCCATGAAGTGGGTAAATGGAAACTTTATTACCAATCATGTTCATTAGTATTGAATAAGAATGGGCACCTGCTTTCTATTCCTGTACTTGATGTTCAATAATACCCTAAAAATCAACCTGAT